TGAGAAAGGACAGATAGGGTGCCTGACCCACTTAACAATAGATCAGCAAAGCGCCACAGGAACACACAGTAACACATACCCTGTGGAGGCGAGGTGGGAAGAAGGGGCTTGAGAAGCTCTCCCAGAGGAAGTGATGTCTGAGCTGGACCTTGGAGGCCGAGTGGGAGGAAGTCAGCCAGAGAACAGGTGGTAAGTGTTCAGGGCAGGAGAAATAGCCTAGAAGGAGAGAGAGTGGTGGGCTGCTGGGAAGCTGGAATGTTGGAGTTCAGGTGGAGGAATAACAGGAGATGGACTTGCAGAGGTACAGGTCTCCCTAGCTCTCCTTGAAAGAAATATTAATGAGACTGGACTTCATCCTGTTGTAGGGCTTGGAGTAGGTAAACAACACTATTATCTTGGCTGCCATGTATAGGCAAGACTGGAGGAAGGGGGACCCCTTGGTTGTAGCAGTCTTGACAAAGGACAGAGGTAGCTGGCAGTGCTGTAGTGGTAGGGGAGAATGGAGATGTGGAGGAAGTAAAATAACGCAGAATTTAGCGGCACCCTCTATGTGGGAGATAAAGGGACATGATAAATCCTTATAGATGATGAACATGGATTCTCCTGGGAAAAAATCTGAGGAGAATGAAATGGGGTGATTTTCTAGAACTGGCAACCAAGTGCCACTCTGATTCTGTATTTGATCTAGAAACCGCAGGATAGAAGTCATACGGGCTGCTTTTTCCCTACCCATTTGGTATAATGAAAGAACTCACAGAGAAACTGGGTTTGAGTCTCAGCTATGCAACTTAGTAAATTTGCAAGATCATAGAAAATACTTAATGTCTAATCAGAGCCCACTTCAGGACCCAAGGAGACAACAGGGAATGAGAATGAAAAATCTCTCCTTTTATCGTGCTCTAGTTGGGAAGACAGAAAAAAGCCAATAGACAATTACAAACCATGGTAGGTGCTATGAAGGAAGTAAAAAAGGGTGACTAGATAGAGCTAAAGAATGAGATTGGCCAACTACTAAAGAGCAGGGGAAAGAACATTACAGCCAGAAGGGACAGTAAACACAGCTTCTGCCAACGTGAAAGGGCTTGTAGGGTCAAGTAACAGGTACATCACGGGGCAGGGCTCGAAGGCTATGAGGAAATTAACTTTTATTCTAAGAGTAAGAGAAGCCTTAAGCATATTTTGAGTAAGGGAAGCCACACACCCAGATTTACATTTTTACCATATCATTCAGGCTGCTGAATGGAGAATGAATTGGAGAGGGAGATAGTGAAGACCTATCAGCTAGGAGACTATTGTCCAGAAAAGAGGAAAGTGGCTCAAAAATAATAATTAATGCATCTGTAGCACTTACATCCTTATAAGCAATTTTTTTCATGAATTATTTATTTGGGGTAGGTTTTGAACAAAAAAAAACACTGAAAATGTTACTCCGTTTATTGTTTTCCATCATTTTACTATAAAAAAATAGACAACTTGAAATAATTATTGAGTTTTCTACCATATACATACCCCAAGAATCGAGAATTAACCTTTTCCTGCTCGTGTTTTGTCATGTAGCTACCCCTTCTAATCGTTCTTCTATCAGGCCATTTTAATTTTTTTTGATGTATTTTAAAGTAAGCACAGGATTCAATACACTTCACTCTTATCCATGTTGCATGAATATAATTAACTAGGAACATTTATTTTTATGTCTTTCTTTCATCATAAATGTACATGTTTAAAATGCACCATATGATTCAATAAGTTGCAAAAGCACATACACTCATGTATGTCCTGGTCTCTCTTTCTTCTCTCCTTTTGGGATTCCAATAATACCTTATGAATCTTTTTGATATTATATTTTATAACATTTACTGATGTAATGAAAACCAGAGGAATGTCTAGATTTTATTGCTGAGAAGGGTAGCATTTCAGATTTGTTGTGTTTAAATCCTATTAGACATTCATGTGAAGTTGTCTAGTAGACAATTGGGAATATGAGTCTGGAGTTTAGGAAGGGGTTGATTAGGGCTGGGGATACAACTTTCATAGTCATCAGCACATTAAGTATCCTGTAAAACCATGGGACTGGATAAGGTAACTGAGGCAAAGGTATAGATAGGGCAGATGGTCCAGGAGAAACTCCTGAGTCACTTAAACATTAAGAAGTTGGGCATAATTTGGCAAAAGAACAGCCAGTAATTCTGAAGGAAACCCAGTAGTCATGGAACCTAAAGAAGAGAAGGATTTCAGGAGGGGGAGGTGGTACCATGCATGAACTGCTGCTGGAAGATTCAGAGTGGAGGACAGAAAAGCAACTATTGGATTTAGCAAAGTGAAGATCAATAGAGTAGTAATGTTGGAACACATATTGGAATAGATTGAAGAATCAATATTTGAAAGAGGAAGTGGAGACAGCAAGTTCTGATTCATTAGTTATTAAGTTTGTTGAGAGTAGAGAGCAGAGGAATGAGGCAGAATGCTTTATGTAAGTGGAAATAATATAGTAGAAAGGGAGAGGTTTATCAACATTAACCATTAACCAAATAGCTGACTTAGCCAGTTCATTGGATTGTTTTGAAAAATCAAATGATTTCTGCAGAATTGCTCTGTAGAGTATAAATTACTTCGTGAATATTTTTAGGAATGCATTTTTTCCAGGCTCTATAATTTCTGTATCTTTCTATCTAATACATAAGTACCTGCTAATCAAGGTCTATATTAGTTTTAAGTTCTTTTGTGTTGTATCACATAAAATATAAGTTGATGCCTAAACAATGATTTTTCTAAATAATTTCTTTTGGTGCTTTGACTAGTTGTTTTAGTCCTCTGGATTTCAATTTTCCCATTTTGAAAATAGATGGTAAATGATGAAGAACTATACTTATTACTATAAAGAGAGGTTCAAACATGGCTGAGTGGAAAAGAGGATTTTAAGAACAGCATATAGTGTATAATTCCATTTTTGTAAAATATGAAAACATCAATGTATTTCTTTCATGAAGTTCATTTATTTCATGTATCAATGTCTAGAAGTATTTTTCAAGATGAAACTGTTATCAAAATTTAACATTATGAAATAATAAAACTAAAGAGAATAAAGAAAACAAAACCATGTAAAAATAGATAATATTTTCCTTCCCAAGATAGGAGAATTTTATTGCTTTCAAAGGGATAAGTATCAAAATCAAGGTGGCTTACAGAGTGAAAAGTAGCTCAGTTTGAGAGTAAGCCCTTAAAGAGCCATGTTAATTTTGACCTTTCTACTGTTCCAAAGGGAAGCAAAAAAAAAAAAAAAATCAAACTGAGTCCGAGTGTCTTTCGATCCTTCTTTACACTTTTCCATTTTCTATAAACCCTTCCTTCAACAATACCTGCCTCGATCTGTGTTTTTTTTTTAATAGGGCCAGCTCCACTTCTTGACCTATTTCTGTGACTTCTTTGGGTTCTGGCTTTGAAGATTTTGTTAGTCAAATCCTGCATCCTTCCTTTTATTCTGGGCTTTATCCAGAGGATACAGAGTTCCAGCTCAGGGTCAGCTTTGGAACACAGATTTCCTGCCTGGCTCTGCAGGACAAATGCTACTCTGCCAGTTTTTCATGGCTTTGTTCCACTGTATCTGCAGTGGCCCATGGTAAGTATCGTGTCCTGGTGCCCTCTGATGCAGTCTGCCACTTGCCCAACCGCACCTTGGCTGATATCCCTGTGTTCCAGTGTTCTCTGTGATTGTCCTTCTTGGATTAGTACTTTATAAGCATTTGGTAACTGTGCTAATTTGGGGCTGCTGGGGAAAGAGTGTGTGTGTGTGTGTATATATATCTTATAATTTTTCAATAGTTTTCTTTGTTTTAAGGGTCATCTGACAGTGAAAGAATTGAAGGACATTTTCATGGGCTGTTTACTCTGACTGAGTAGCCTTTCCTTCCCCTTTTTTCTAATCTGGTGCAGTCCTGCCTTTAGGGCCCAGCTGCAATCCCAGCTGCAATCCCGGCCACTCTGAAGGCTTCCCCATCGCTGCTGCCTGAGGGACCCGCCCATTCTCTGTGCTCTGCTAACCCAGGAAGTCGCACTCATTTTTCCCAACTTAACCTGAGCTGCCTCTCTGTCAAGTAGAAGCTTTAACTTCCCAATTAGACAATCAGCTTTGTTCTTTCACACACTTATTCCAGGTACAGGCTCTGGAGCACGAGTGTCTGGAATCCTGGCTCCGTCGCGGGTTAGCTGTAGGATCTTGTCTAAGTCATTTACCATCCTCGGTGCCTTTGGCTCTGTCTCTGCTCGGTGTGATTATAGTGTCTGTGTTTCAAGGTTGTTGGGAGGGTTAAATGAAATAGTACATGTAACATGTTTAATACAGTGCCTGGCACATAGTATCCAATAATTGCTCTTTTGTATGCTTATTGTTATTTAACTCCTCTGTGTACTTAAAAGACTGGAGAAAACAGCTAAAAACAGGCAATACTCTATAGAAATAGTTTCTGATCTACCCATTCTAGCCCTTAAGAAGTAATTGCTCAATTATTTATTTAAATTCTACTCATTTAAGAAGTACAGGGTGCTATGAGCATGTCTAATTTCCCCAAGAAGGTTTAGCAAGGTTCCCCTGAGGAAGTGATAAATGAATTTAGATCTGAAAAAGGAGTAGGCATAAACCAGATTAATATCAGGAACAGCATTCCAGGGAAAGGGAACAGCATGTGTGGGGACTCTGAGCTGCATGAAAGCATGGACTACCTGAGAAACTGAAAGAAGGCCAGTGATCAAATGAGGAGAGAGTTCCCAGAGAGCCAAGCTTGGGCTTTGTGTCTCATCATTTTCCTAATATCTTGTGCCCACATATTAAGGAGCTCAGTTAATACTTGTTAGTGGTTTAGTCTACATGGGTAGGGCTGGTTTGTTGCATTCTTTCAGGCACCAGAAGAAAGTGGTTTTCTGGGTAAGTGGTATATCAGTAAGTGTCCAGTCAAGAAAACGGAAACCACGTTGGGCATTTCAATAGTGAAAATTTAATACGTGGAGTTGTTTACACAGGCATTGGAGAAACTGAAGAGGGGCCCCTGAATTAACAAAGAGCGAGTGATTGTAGGAAGTCACCACCTCTTCAGACCAGAATCCTTAGTTTTGTCTTCATTGTCTCTCTCTCCCACATCCAGTCTCTCACAAAGTCCTGTCTTTTAGCCCAAAGGAGCTGGAACCCAGAACCAGCTGTGTGTGATAGGCAGGTAAGAGGGCGACTCTTTGGTGCCGTGCACTCTTCCATGCTGGCACAGTAGGAGCTCAGAGGAGCTAGGATGACTTCCCACTTGACTGGTACCTGTACCTATCAGAGTGAACCATTCAGAGCAGTTCTAAGAATACTGAAATAAAGCAGGAGACGGAGGCCAGTTGCCCATCCCCGGGTGGAGGGTCATTGCATTGCTAAGGTGCAGGTGATAGGACGGGAAAAAAGCAAGAAGGAGCCTGCATTCGTGTCTCCCTCTAGCGGCCGCTCAAGAAAGTGGAAATGGACAGGGAGTCAGCAGGCAAAGCAGAAATGTGATTTGCAGAGTCCTGCCCCGGTGTCACATAGCATAGTACAGAAGCGTGGGTGGAAGTTTTTATTTTTATGATGGGTTTATGGAAAAGATACATGGAGTAGGAAAATAACAACAAAGGAGAAGATAGGCATGGACAATCAGATATCAAGGGTAACAATCTTGCTTTTGGGTAAAACACCTCATTCTCTAATTTCTGATCTTCAATATATAATAAATTACCTTGAAAGACTTTGCATAAAAATATTCCTTAACTCCTTCTCTGGAAGTGATAAGATCAATTGTTCTGCTAAAGCAGAACTGTAGTGAAAACCACTTTGTAAGTTTATGCCACTCCAGTCTGAGTTGGAAATATCTATATGTATGTATACATATACATACATAGACACATATATATTTAATATTAATATATTCTATTTTGTTTGTTTTTTTTAGTAGATAATATTTTTTACATGTTTATTTTAAATTATTGGAAAAGAAAAAACTTTGTAAGCTCTCACTCTTGGGCTTAAAGCTGTTAACTAGCATATATATTCATTAAAAGAGACTGCAGGTGGTTACATAGGTCACTTTTTAGCTCCAAAAGTGTCCTGCCATCTACCAAATTTCTTACCTGTGCACTTTAGGGAAAACCACTTCATTACCTTTTCCTTTAAGGTTGTTTGCAGACCTCCTGGAATTTGGAGAATTATGTGTGCCTCTTCTCCCAGCTCCTGGCCTGGGTTTTAATTGCCTTGTGAAGCTGAGCAGAAATGGACTCATCTGTCTCATCCATTTCCTAGAAATAATCCCTTGTTATTGTCTAATACTTGAAACCTTATTGTTTTACTTCACCCGTTTTCCCTGTTCTAATTTTCAGCATTATGCAGCAATAATAACCTTGGTGAAAGATAATTCCTGTGGATCGTCATTCCACGGCTGGTCCTAGCTGGCCGTTAACCCCTCAGTAATGCCACATACTCTGATTCTGTTGCATAAGTCAACACAGACCGGAATTACTGACAGTCATAAAGGTCTGATAGTTCAGCGTTCAAATGTAAAGCAAAATGCAGTTTTTGTCAGAAATACAAAATACAATAAACAAATAAATATACTTATTTTTTTCTAAATCTAGGATTGTTACAGAGTCCTAAAAAATGACCCAGATGTCAATTTAAAAAACCTGTTCATTTTTACGTATTTGTTTGCCTGCTGGTAACAGTATGTATGTGAGAAACAGTAGGAAAAAAAACAACACAGTGAAAACATAACATAAATCTCTCATGGGGTTTAGAATCCTTTCCACCTTTCTGCATGACATTTTCTGCCTATTCAAGGGATCTCTTGTGGGTTTGAAAGACCAGCCATCAAGTTATCTCATTAATTATGGATGCTTTGCTTTCCATTGGAATTTGTTACCACAGAGTGCTGGGTAGTACCTTGATTGTGTTGTAGAATTGCATACTTTAATATTAATGTGTAAAAATGTAACTCTTATTAACATAGCAAAGCATAAACATTGGCCAGAGTTATGAAACATGATTATTATTTTTAAAGTACCAAATGAAAACAAGATTGAAACATGTTGCTAAAATCCTACCTACAGTTCTGTACTTTTGTGTATGATCCTTAGCTGTTGTCAATCAAACCTCAGCTCTAGTCTATTTTTAATCTGGAAAGGAAAACTTCTCATCCTTAACTTGGCCAAAGACCTTTTGGGGGCTCTTCCCTATACTGAGATTTCTAATAAGCTTCATGCAGTAGAAAATTTTATTCTTTTATTCCTGCTGCAAGATTTAACTTCCTTATTGATGCAATGTTCTGATTGTCTTTAGCTTCCTCACTTAGCACTGCTTAGGTTCTCTTGCTATCTGTGTTCTCTTGTATATTCTCCTAAATGGGATAGGAAATTGTCTTTCTGATTCACAGGGCTGCGGTTGATGGAGAGAAATTACAGGTATGATGTGTCTTTCTGGGGCAACAGAACACCTACCTTGACAATCCCATTTTTCCCCTTAACTACATGAAGACTTATTAGATTTGCTCCATCTTACAGAAAACTACTCTGAGCTTCTTTTCTTCTTTCTTGGAAAATTGCTCACTCGAGCCTATAAAGTGAAATGTCCATCAAATCAATTCCATAGCAACCCTTATACCCAAGATCTAATATGTTTTCTTTCTGGCCTTAAGGAGACCATATACTCTAAGTCTAACAATCTAACTTAAAAACCACATTAAAATCTTCCAGAGAGCAAACAAAAGATACAAAATAGTTTTACGATAAGCTCAAAGATTGGGGAAAATAATAATGTGTAATGGGACTTCTAGTGGCTGGACTGAGGCAGCCCCACACAATGGTGCTTGGTAGGCAGAGCCTATCTTTGGAGAAGAGGTAGGAAAATGTGCATAGGAGACAAGGAGATTTCTGAAACTGAAGAATCTAGAACCTGGCCCCATCCCTTTGGAGTTTCAATATTATAAAACATCTTTGGTGGACAGAGTTGAGGCTAACTGAAGTCTTCGGGCAAGAAGGACTCCAAACTGTCCTAAGAAATATGCAAAACTGATATCCCAGTATTGACACCAAGGTTTGCATGTGACGTAGCACATGTCCACAAAATGTGGGATAGGGTAGAAGCTACTCTTGGCCAAACTGTCAACAAGCTTGGGGGCATGTTTTCAATGCACTGACTGAATATTTGATCAGGACCTAAAAGACCTGCAGTGAGGATCATCGAAGAAGTCAATTACAACTGAATGAGCAGCCATTGAGCACCCAGTGCACAGCAGCCATGTGACGTGGCCGCCGCTGAGCAGTCACAGTAGCCGTTTCGTTAGACTTCCTGGTTCTCTCCGCTTGTTTTTGGAAGTAGAACTGACCACCTTGGACTGAGTAAGTTTTAAGAAAGCAGTGGCTCTTACTAGGAAAATGAGACTACCTGATAATGAAATAATCAGTTGGTATTATAAAAGAGATACAATCTCATTGTCTTCCAAGCTTGTTAAAGGTGGTACCTAAAGAAGTTAGTATATGTTTGTAAATTTTAGAGTAATCAAAATGTATTTTGAACTTCCAAAGACTTTGCCCTGGGGTATTATTAAAAATATTTTTGTAAAAACAAAAATGAAAGCAAGCGATTTTATATTAATAAATGATATACTTTCTTCTATGATATACTTATCTATATATCTATATATATATATATAT